TTTGATGTATTCACTATTATTCTACAATGTAGAAAATAGTAAAAAAATAAAAACCTGTGAATGAGTAGGTGTACAAACTTTTGACTGGTACTGTGTATATAACCACAAACTCCCTATCGGAGCAATCATCCATTTTCATGAACAGGGTGGTGTACCTAAAACTGGCCGGTGAGTGTGTGTGAAGTCCCCACTCCTTCCTCTTCAGCCATGTTTATCCTTACCTTCTAAATTACTTGGATCCGCACTGACACGAACCTCATCCCCAGGCTAAATGTGCACTGAACCAGATTACACTGACATTAATAGTAAGAACTGAAGTCTGGACCGCAAAAAGGCGCCAACAGACGTGTGAAGATGTGAGAAAATAGATTGAATATTGTGTACAGTTCACACAAACAAAACAGGCTGAGACACCCCATCCAAGTTTCCAAGTTTAATTGATACTAATAAAATGAGTGAAAACAAAAAAACCAAAAACAATTGTTTTCATACAGAGCATGGTTTGGCACAATACACCCCAAATCCTCTCAATATGCAAACAGTCACAGAGGCACTTATCATTACACCATACTCCAATAGCATGCCAACTGTGAGTCAGGCAGTGTAGACACCTGCGGGGTAGGAGGAAAGAGAGAAAGAGTTAGAGAGAAAGAGAGACCTTTTAGGAAGTGTTGGGTGAGCCAAATGTTAACTCTGTCCTTCCTACACTGAGACTCAGCATGGACAGTCCACAATCATGTTTTATAGTTCTTTTATTTAGACAACCCAAATAAAAAGGCACATAAAAACATTGCGCATATGTTTACAATTATTCTTGACAAAAAAAAAAAAGAAAAAAAAAGGTAGGAATGTTTTACCTTTCTGCTAATCAGAAAGCCTAGTCTTCGTATATACAAAATTACCATTGTTAATGTTCTAATACAAAAAGATTTATAAAAGGTTATCTAGTTTTTTTTTCCTTGCATGTGTCTATCATAACTAACATGTCCTCTGAACTAAATGGTTTTGTACAAAGATATACATTCATCAGCCTTCACAGGGCTCCAAGATCTCCCAATTCATTGAGAAAAACTTCAGAAAGATCAGCCCAACTTTTCTCTTCCAAAATCAAAGTTAAGACCAAAACCATCATTGCATTTCATTTTTTCTAGTGTCGTTGCAAACAAATGAAAAGCATTTGGTTAAAAAGAAACTGATGGCGCATAGGCTTAATGGCCCTTTAAAAAATTACAGACCATATTCTCAAATATGTTGATAACAGTTAAGAATGTTGCTTACAAAACACTTAATTCTATGTAGATGATACTTAAAACATAAAAAAATCACATTTCAATTTGGTTGAGGGGGCTGTCTAGCTCTTAGCCATCTGAACAGTTAATGCTGCCATCACAAAACAAGTCCATCACCATAGACATTATGGCATCTGCGAGAGCACAGGAAGCACCATTGAGGCCATCTCCATTTTGAAATAGTCAGTTTTCTTCTACTACTTCTATGAGTTGGCAAACTAAAAGGGTGCATAATGCCACCTGGAGTGTGTTGTTTGAACAGGTATGAAGCCAAGGTTGGCTATTTACTGCCACCTGCAGCTATGGAATGTTTGCTCATAAGTATAATTGATTGGCTGATCCCTCCTTAACCCATAGGAAGTCCCACCCAGTTGACTACTTCAGAAAGTCCTCATTGGCGCTGGCCATGCTAAAACAGGCTTTTGGGCACTAGTGTCTAAAGTCTATGTCCATCACATCTAGAAGAGGAAGTAGGTGTGGAATAGTCTTGTTGCAATGCAGTTTAGGCACACTATTTACGGCCACTGCAGAATGACAAATGACACACAAATACTTCAAAACTATTTTTTTTTGTAGTGTTTTCTTTCAGTAAAAAAAAAAAAAAAGTCAAGTCAAGTCACTAACCTTCTAATGACAGTTTTTTCTAACTAAATCCAAACTTGGACGACCTCAGATGTCCACATGCAACATCGATGAGAGATCAATGGAAAGGGAATCCAAATGGCAACAAGACCACAATGCCATTCCATTTCAGATTTGAGCAATTCCCTTGGGGCACTGTGTTGGCATGCATGCAATACTATCAAAGGCCTCAAACACCTTGCCGTTCCCAAGACAGAGACACAGGGAAGGCGAGGCCACCCACGAGGGGAGAAGTCTCTGAAGAGCATCCACCAGTTTGATGTTAGAACGCACCGCCTTTTCCTATCAAACCCATACAGACTGATTTTTGGCCAATGTGTCACATCTGTGCTGTGTCAGCGCCACGTGCTTCTAAGAGTTCCTGCCAGTTGAGGGAGAGGCTTGTGTACTGAACATACAGTGGGGGAAAAAAGTATTTAGTCAGCCACCAATTGTGCAAGTTTTCCCACTTAAAAAGATGAGAGAGGCCTGTAATGTTCATCATAGGTACACGTCAACTATGACAGACAAATTGAGAAAAAAAAATCCAGAAAATCACATTGTAGGATTTTTAATGAATTTATTTGCAAATTATGGTGGAAAATAAGTATTTGGTCACCTACAAACAAGCAAGATTTCTGGCTCTCACAGACCTGTAACTTCTTCTTTAAGAGGCTCCTCTGTCCTCCACTCGTTACCTGTATTAATGGCACCTGTTTGAACTTGTTATCAGTATAAAAGACACCTGTCCACAACCTCAAACAGTCACACTCCAAACTCCACTATGGCCAAGACCAAAGAGCTGTCAAAGGACACCAGAAACAAAATTGTAGACCTGCACCAGGCTGGGAAGACTGCATCTGCAATAGGTAAGCAGCTTGGTTTGAAGAAATCAACTGTGGGAGCAATTATTAGGAAATGGAAGACATACAAGACCACTGATAATCTCCCTCGATCTGGGGCTCCACGCAAGATCTCACCCCGTGGGGTCAAAATGATCACAAGAACGGTGAGCAAAAATCCCAGAACCACACGGGGGGACCTAGTGAATGACCTGCAGAGAGCTGGGACCAAAGTAACAAAGCCTACCATCAGTAACACACTACGCCGCCAGGGACTCAAATCCTGCAGTGCCAGACGTGTCCCCCTGCTTAAGCCAGTAGATGTCCAGGCCCGTCTGAAGTTTGCTAGAGTGCATTTGGATGATCCAGAAGAGGATTGGGAGAATGTCATATGGTCAGATGAAACCAAAATATAACTTTTTGGTAAAAACTCAACTCGTCGTGTTTGGAGGACAAAGAATGCTGAGTTGCATCCAAAGAACACCATACCTACTGTGAAGCATGGGGGTGGAAACATCATGCTTTGGGGCTGTTTTTCTGCAAAGGGACCAGGACGACTGATCCGTGTAAAGGAAAGAATGAATGGGGCCATGTATCGTGAGATTTTGAGTGAAAACCTCCTTCCATCAGCAAGGGCATTGAAGATGAAACGTGGCTGGGTCTTTCAGCATGACGATGATCCCAAACACACTGCCCGGGCAACGAAGGAGTGGCTTCGTAAGAAGCATTTCAAGGTCCTGGAGTGGCCTAGCCAGTCTCCAGATCTCAACCCCATAGAAAATCTTTGGAGGGAGTTGAAAGTCCGTGTTGCCCAGCGACAGCCCCAAAACATCACTGCTCTAGAGGAGATCTGCATGGAGGAATGGGCCAAATACCAGCAACAGTGTGTGAAAACCTTGTGAAGACTTACAGAAAACGTTTGACCTGTGTCATTGCCAACAAAGGGTATATAACAATGTATTGAGAAACTTTTGTTATTGACCAAATACTTATTTACCACCATCATTTGCAAATAAATTCATTAAAAATCCTACAATGTGATTTTCTGGATTTTTTTCCCCTCATTTTGTCTGTCATAGTTGACGTGTACCTATGATGAAAATTACAGGCCTCTCTCATCTTTTTAAGTGGGAGAACTTGCACAATTGGTGGCTGACTAAAAACTTTTTTTCCCCACTGTAGGCCCAGGCAGAGCCAGTAGGCACTGGGCTGGGGAAGGAAGCAGCCCTGTGACCCTTGACCCATACCCTTTGACCCTAATAGGACACACAGTGGATACAGCCTCTAGTCTCTGCTTCCATTCTCTTTCAGGGCATGGCAGTTTTGATTCTAGAGTAATATAACAAAAAGGACCTCAGGAGACAGAAAAACCTCAAACTAACCTTGGAAGTAAACTATGCAAAAGTAGTCCAATGGACGGCCGTATCGACAATGATAAAGTAATTGCAGCTCTGACCTGTATTGAAGGATACTTTTTTTAAATTATTTTTTTTAAGACAGGCAAAGACAAAATAATGTTGTGTTTTAATATTTACAAAGAAAGGGTAAAAGGTCAAGAAAGGTTGCGTGTTCAACTTGATTTGATCCTTTTACTCGTCAAAAGACTGGGCTACTCTCAGTAAGGTTCCTGAGTAGAAGTTCATACTTATAGGATCTAAACTTGCAATACAAAAAATAGAGGGGGATAAAATGGCCCTATCAAAACCTCTCCCAACATAACTAAATTCACAATATTTTTTAATTTTTTTAAAGGTGAACTTTGGGACCGCTTTTTCAGCATAGTGTCTACTCTGCCACTAGGTGGCTCTGGTAGCCTCTACATTAACAAGGCTCTCAGCCAACACTAACCATTTTGATCCTTGATAATACTGCGGTTTTCAGGACATTAACCCAGGGATATGCCTTCAGTGCCAGACATTTCCTCCTTGTGTTCCTGTAACATTACCACTGTAATGTCCTCCGGCTACTTCGTGAAGTCATCTAAAACACACCTTACAACTATTCCAAAAACAAAACAAAAACCATGTATATGTTTACAGTATCCAGCAGTGAGGAGTGACCGTTTTCCAGAGATGTACAAAGAATGGCGTTAGGACCTGGGAGAGACCTTATGTAGTCCAAGGCATTGGCCTAAGATACAACTGTGGTGCCTTTGAAACCTTTTTTCTCTCCAGAAAAATCACCCTCCTGCAAAATGGTAGCCTTTGTCCCTTTTGCTGTACTTAACTCCTTACAATGCATACAAATATTAAATACTGATTAGCAGGCTATAATAATAATAACAAAGGAAAACAAATATAAAAACCATCTGCTCTGTAAGAAAGCATTTAAAAACATTAATACCAGCAATACATTTCTGTTACAGTTTCATTCCAATGCCAAATGTGCAGGTATGTTCTGACGCAAGAGGCGAGGCATAACTCGTAGTTTGTTTACGTCAGGCATCCACTTGGTGCATCATTCAAAAGCTCCATTCCTCCTTTTGAGACTTCACATGACTTCCAGGACTGTCCTCCTACCGGCGGTTAAAAGGAAAATCAAATGCACCCGCATCTACAGGGGCTGGCCGCATCTACAGGGGCTGGCAGTCCACCTCTCATCATGCTGCAGACAGACGGGTACAGCGTCCAGCTAGCCCCCCATACTACACCTCAGCTCTACAACATCATCTATAGTACTCCTGGTAAGGAGGAAGGTCTGCTAAAGTAAGGGAGGAAGAGGAGGTTTGGGGGTAGAAGGAGAGAGGTGGGAGGGGTTGATAAAGAGATGCTAACCAGGGGCCAGGGAAGGGGTTACTACCAGGGAGGGGAGGAAGGCAGGACCTGGGAGAGAAAAGGCATGCTATCCATGGGCCGCATGGCGATGTTGAGCGGCCCGGTTATATTCATGGGCATCCCAGAGGTGATGGCCACAGGGTGGGCTATATTCATGGGCCCGGTGATGGTCACTGGGTGCTGCAGGTTGATTGGAGAGGTGATGTTGACCGTGCTGGTGGTGATGTTCATCTGGGCGGCGATGGTTACCGGGTTGCTGGCGTTGCCGCGGTTCATCGCCGAGGTGATGGCGGCAGAGTTGGTGACGGGCGTCGCCGAGCCAGAGTTGTGCACGTTGTTAGAGTCTGAGGAAAGACGAGAGGGAGGGAAGGAGCCAAATAAAGACAGAATGAGCTGGATGATCGTTCCTTACAAACCATTTAGGACAACCCCAAGCTCCACAGGGTTAGAGGGGCAGAGGTTTGATTCACTGCAACACACACACACATTAAAATGATTAGACATGATAAAACAATGGTAGGATTCTTATGAACCTACCTTGAAAACGAGAGATGTCCATAAGGACTTGGAACGAGTTATTTAAGATCTCTCCTACCGTCAACTCACCTGAGGGGGCAATTCAAAAAGCAGGATCAATGTGCTAGCCAGCTAACTTTCAGCTAATATTCAGAAACACTTTATTTCATACTATAGTCAACTTGAAATGGTATGGTATAATTAACTCAATACCTTCAACAACCCATATTCCACTTAAACCTTCTGAGTTGTAATTTAAGGTTTATCAAAGTTATTTGGCTAGCTAACTTATTGATCCGGCTTAATGAAATAAAACCCTGATACCTGAATAACCATAACACACAAAAACATCTGCAACGACTTGGTTGGAATACCACTACACAAGCTAGGCTAGAAGACAGATCTGTAGTGGAAAATGGGCCACTTCAATGCATAAGTAAGTATACAGCTACAAATTTGGAGGGGTTGGGATCGGGATGGGTTTCAGCTTGAATTACTAGATTACCTTTTCGTATCCCTGAGTGGTGGTTCCACTGCCAGTCACTTAGCCCTATTCAGAGATACAGACAGATAGGGGTTACATTTATTGACAGGACTGATTGGGATAGGGCATCATTCGGGCCTGCGTGCCAGGGGTTGCAGCAGGGCATAGGGGTGAGGGGGGCACAGGTCATTGGGTTAGATACACGAACAGCCAATCATATACCAAGTACTACAATGTTTATAGCGCGTCGTAGCTGGTGGGGACAAAAATTAGATTTGTTGTATAATGTATGCATACCCATTGTGTAAAATGACTAGGGTTTGCTGAACAATAGCCCTTGCTATTTTAGAATGATCAATCCTATGAAACATGCGTCAGAGTGATGTTATTCTTCCAAACTGGACTTTAACACCCATAAGTGAGTGGAAGTTTGACAAACCAACAAGAGAGCAGACATCATAAACCTCAATTTCAACAGCTGACAGACAAACAAGATACCCACAGTCTGAAAACTGCACACACAGACCCATCAACACTTAATGAGAGGATATACATTATTTATTTGGTCGGGTCACATATTGCATTTGAATGACTTATATTGCTGTACTAGTTTGCTATGTGCGTCAAATTAATTGAACGCGCAAAGCCCTTTAAATTTAGACCATCTCATAACAGATTTCTTGCTACAGGCTATCCATTTCTGTCAGCAGAGATACTTGTCAACCCCACCACACATGTAAACAACTGGCAAACCAGACCGGGCTGGCCTGCGGGTGGGCCCCAGAAAACTGACATTATCATGATATGAATCCATCAATGAGTGGTAAAGACACTGTCCTTGTCAGTTGTCGACTGTTGTGTAGTACATTTGAATCTGTAAGTCAGTTTGTTGTGGTGCTGCACAGAAGGAGATGAATGTCCATGAAAAAGGCCAATATAAAGAAGGCATATTCCTAAACATTCTTTATCCTGACCCAAATATACTGGAATCAAATACAGCCGGACATGGGTCACTCTCCACTCTTATGATTTCGTGACTGGAGAAAAATCTTAACTCTGACAACTACAGAAACCTGGGGTGTATTCATTACGGAAACCATTAGACATTTAAGAACCAAAGAGATCAAAACGAGAGTTTCTATTGGACAAATTCAGGTAGGTCCCTCCACATTTAATTCAGCTTGCTTCCATTTAAGAACCGTTTAGCAACAGAATCTTCGGAATGAACACACCCATGACGACAAACCTGACAACGTGCTTGGAGCATGCCTTTCGCGTATAGTAGACCACAAAACAACAATGCCTGGGGTGCTTTCAGCGTAAAGACAGGGACGGAATACATTTAAGTCATTTAGCAGACGCTCTTATCCAGAGCGACTTCCAAATTGGAATAAGTACCTAAAGTCATTTTAAGAAAACAAATACGATTGAATACCTAGGTCTGGAGGACCCCAGGATAGGTGTGGCTGATGGGAGAGTGGGAGGGATGGAGGAGGAGGAGAGAGTGGCGTACCTTTATTACAGGGGTTGTTGAAGCTGGCTTGGCCGTGGGTCTTCAGGTGGCTGGTAATGTAGGCGGCGCTCAGCATCTTGCCACAGATGTTGCAGGTCACCTTGCCCTCGTGTCGGATCATGTGGGAGCGCAGGCGGTCTTTGGTGGCGAAAGCAGAGGTACAGGCCTGGGGAGGTATACAGGGACAATGAGGAGGATATTAGAGGAGATACAATCTCACTCAATCTGTCTTGAAGGTGTACACTGTAGACATGTCTGCATCTTGAAGACTCATGAGAGATTAAATATTTTATACTATTTTACAATTGGGAGATAGCGTAATAATCTCATCCTTAATCCAACAAACCAGGAGTGAATGTGTGGGATAGGAGTGTGAACATAAACAGGGAGGGTGGAGTCCCGGAGGAGGATGCCTGGCTTCTTACCGTTACTTGGCATTTGAAGGGTCTCTCTGAGGAATGAACATGCTTCACGTGACAGCTTAGATGGTCAGGCCTGCAGGGGGAGAGAGGACACACAGAACAACACAGGCATTTTAAAACCTGGTATAGTAGCTACAATACAGGTAGTTTTATCATTCACTCCATACACTGACAGTAGCTGCACACACACTACTATACCGTTTGACACACGATTCAATTAACAAAATGGGCCAACAAAAGGTCGCAGGCAAATGACAAATTCTCTCCGAACCCACTGTCATATCTTAATAGTTAAATGATGCTAATTATATTGAAGGCTATTACTGTGGATGTTTTATTTATGTAATGAATGTTAGTCTCATGGCGGGCCATATTTGACCCATGGGACACAAGCTATTAGCGCATCAATCCTCTACTACACCCTCCCAAACGCATTCCTTCTCCCAAAGTAATCATCTATGTTCTTGCAACAAGACCAGAGAGTTATTAAATTGAGCCACACCAAATAAATTGACACATTTCAAAAATCTAGCTAGAACTCTATTCTACAACATGACAGAATTATCTGGCAACCACAGCTGTCTGTCTCTCAGTTCTCCTCCTCTGCCCTCACTAAGCCGTACTAGTGAAATGTTGCTACTGGATAAACACAACCAGAGAATTCCCCTCCAACAAAGGAGGAGAGGGTGGCTTGAAAATGTCTCTAAGGAGGCCGTTTCTCACTAGCAAGCTTTTCGTGATGGCGAGCAGGAGTCCAATCCCATCTCCTCAGGAGTGCAGTGGAGCTGAAAAGCTCATATCTCCCCTCCTCTCCCACACAACACTCCTTCGTTTAAGAAGAGGGGAATGGCCTTTTTCAGGACTGCTAAGCGTGAAAATGAACATGCACCTCTAGCCGCACAAGAGTACGATTTGTTACCAAGTCACTGTAGTTATGATACAATATCCTTCACTTCGCTAGTTGCTAATAATTTAGCTCAGAAACACACCGCCCTATTTACTGACAACTTTATGATGTCTGAAGGGGTTGGGGTGAAGAGACATGTACTCTCCAACATTACAAATAACAAAAGGGAGGGGAGCTAAATCAATGATTAGAAATCAGACCAGTCAGTGAGTCAGAACACTACCATTGGCCTTGGGAGCTGCAGGAGTGACACTGGAGACCCAGGACCATCTCTTCTGGTGCTGTCTGGCCCCTGCAGCCGTCTCCCTGTCCCGTGCTGACATCCCTGAGAGGGGGGACACGAGGGACTACTATGTGACGCACGCAAAGCTCCAGATACTGTTTATATACATGGTGGGGCACTGCTTGCATGTCATGAGCCAGTACTAGGGTCTGAACAGAAGCTGCGTGGGTATGGGATTTTAGGCATTTAAATTATACTCCACCCTTTGTTCTTTGCTTGGGGAATTTCATTCAAAGTGGAAATTGTACATAATATACCTTCTGGCTATGTTTATTAAAGCATCATAGTGGAAACATACTAGTATGCAAAGCATTGTTCCTAACTTCTTATCAATTGAGACTGATTAACCAGTCCAATTCAACTCAATTACATTCCAACACGTGGGGATTTCCAAAATTACAATTCATCACACCTTCACATTTTTTGGCTACTGCACTGAATATCAATTTCAAGTGGAATGTTTTTACCCAACCAAGCCCACCATGGACTTGTATGCCATCATCCAGATCATATTCATCTAGGGCTGCATCTGACAGTCTTCAGCAGGTGCAGCCCCACAAAACAATCTGCCCTCGTAGCACTTTATGCTTTTTTTTTTTTACTGTCAGTTAGGCTTCTTCTTCTTCTACAACATAGTCGTATCCTGTACATAACTGTATCAGATTCTGAATAAAGACGACTTTTGGAAAGTTGTAATATTGCCCCCCCTCTTGCTTTCCCCCCACAATCAGGAAATATATTTGGGGCCCATTGAAATGGAAGCAGTGAAAAGGGGTTCCCCTTCACACTGCCATGATAACTGTAAGAAATGTGAAATTCCAAACAACTTTACACATAATAAATTCTCTCTCAGAATGCATTGACAATTACAATATCATGTACTATGGACAATAACATTCTGGACTACTCAACATTTTGGACAAGTGGACTGGAAAAGGGAAACTTGAGTAAGTTGAACTGCGTCACGCACCTGGAGAAGCCCTTCCCACAGACAGAGCAGATGTAAGGTTTGTGAACGCCCCCGTCGTGCGAGCGCACGTGGTAGGTCATGCGGTCCTTTCTCTTAAAGCGCTGCTGGCAGATGGGGCACTCGAAGGGCTTCTCGTCTGAGTGGGACAGCTTGTGACGGTTCAGGTGGTAGACGTCACGGAAGGCCTTGCCACACATCTCACAGCCGTGGTTCTTCTTCACAGGCTTGGCAGGCTTCTTGGGCTGGCTCTGCTGCTGCTGATGATGATGCTGTTGTTGATGCTGCTGATGCTGGGGCACCATTGTGGGAGACATGATGCTGGAGCCCGTGGAGGCCGAGGTGGTTGCCGTGGTGAGGATGCCAGCGATGGTGGAGATGTAAGAGGGCTGGCCGCCGCTGTTCTCACGCTGCGGCACGGTGGAGATCATGGGCACCATGGTGGGCGCCGTCTGTGTCTTCTTGGGACGAGACACCATCTTGACGCCCGTGTGGCAGGACTCATGCCGTCTGAGATGGTAACTGTCCCGGAAGGCCTTGTTGCAGTAGCCGCAGATGAAAGGCGTTTTGGACTTGGGCTCTTTCTTCACCACAGCAACGGGACCACCGCCGCCTCCTCCTCCTCCTCCCGTCCCACTGGCCACATTGTCCTTGAGGAGCTCAGCGACGCTGACCGGGGGCTTCTGGTCCAGGAGGATGGGCATCACAGGCTTCTGGTCCACAGGTTCAGGTCCTCCTGACTGGAGGAGAGGCAGCAAGCTGTTCTGGGCCACCTGGTGCTGGTGATGCAGGGCTTCATTGGCCTGCTGGAAGGACAACACAAAGACAGCCATGCAGAAGCACATCAGTACACAGTCTAGACAGTCACACACCCTCAAAGCTACTACATCCGCATGTAGCAGGGAGAGATGGGGGGGGGGTTCTGACTGCTCTAGAGAGTTGAAATGGACTGCCTTGTCAGCAGAACTACCGCTGTTTCCAAGATGTGCTTACAATTGTAATCTAGTGATGGGGATGAAAGTAAAACAATTGCTCTAAAACATTCGGAGAGTACGACCCTGCCTTACACAGGAAGCGGCACAGGTCCTAATCCAGGCACTTGTCATCTCCCGTCTGGATTACTGCAACTCGCTGTTGGCTGGGCTCCCTGCCTGTGCCATTAAACCCCTACAACTCATCCAGAATGCCGCAGCCCGTCTGGTGTTCAACCTTCCCAAGTTCTCTCACGTCACCCCGCTCCTCCGCACACTCCACTGGCTTCCAGTTGAAGCTCGCATCCGTTACAAGACCATGGTGCTTGCCTACGGAGCTGTGAGGGGAACGGCACCTCCGTACCTTCAGGCTCTGATCAGTCCCTACACCCAACCGAGGGCATTGCGTTCATCCACCTCTGGCCTGCTGGCTCCCCTTCCTCTGCGGAAGCATAGTTCCCGCTCAGCCCAGTCAAAACTGTTCGCTGCTCTGGCACCCCAATGGTGGAACAAGCTCCCTCACGACGCCAGGACAGCGGAGTCACTCACCACCTTCCGGAGACATTTGAAACCCCACCTCTTTAAGGAACACCTGGGATAGGATAAAGTAATCCTTATACCCCCCCCCCCCCCAAAAAAAAGTATAATTGTAAAGTGGTTATCCCACTGGCTATAGGGTGAATGCACCAACTTGTAGTCGCTCTGGATAAGAGCGTCTGCTAAATGACGTAAATGTGCCCTTGAGCAAGGCACTTAACCCTAATTGCTCCTGTAAATCGCTCTGGATAAGAGCGTCTGCTAAATGACTAATATGTAATGTAAATGTAAAACAGAATCAACAGGACTTCACATTTTTCAAAAGGAGTGAGCAGAGTATGACAACTTTATTCACTTTTCTTTGAAGAGTCCAATTGGTTGTCAGCTTCCATTTACAGATGCTGTTGCTGAATTCCATGAACTAAGCTATAATATTTAAACGCTTTTCTGGTGATATCTTAGGGTAGTCTTGTGGGTGATGTTGAGGCTTTAGGTTCAAAAAGAGGTTGCTCAATTTATGCCATTATTCTAAGTCTTCCCCTGTGCCATTCAGGCAACCAAGTTACTACAACCCCGGCCCTGTCAGCAGGGATGTTACATTCTAAGAGGAAGGACAGGCTTTAACAGAGGAACAGCCATTAATTTCTCAGAAATAGAAAGGGAGTCATTTCCAGCCAGGGCATTTGAGCCCCTCAGAAAAAACAAGAGTGCAGCCCTTACAAATGTGGCGAGAGACGAGGGTAGGGAAACGAGGGTTAGGAGAGGAGAGAGAAGGGTTAGGAGGCAGCTGTTCAAATTGCCATATAACTAACTATACAGAACAAAAAGATAAACGCAACACACAACAATTTCAGTTCATATGAAGGAAATCAGTCAATTGAAATAAATTAATTAGGCCCTAATCTATGGATTTCACATGACTGGGCAGGGGCGCAGCCATAGGTGGGCCTGGATGAGTTGTAATTGTCTCAGATGATCCCGCAGGTGAAGAAGCCGGATGTGGAGGTCCTGGGCTGGCGTGGTTACACGTGGTCTGCGGTTGTGAGGCCACTTGGACGTACTTCCAAATTCTCTAAAACAAATGTTGAGGCGGCTTATGGTAGAGAAATTAACATTCAATTATCTGGCTACAGCTCTGGTGGACATTCCTGCAGTCAGCATGCTAATTGCACGCTCCCTCCAAACTTGAGACATCTGTGGCATTGTGTTGTGTGACAAATCTGCACATTTTAGTGTGGCCTTTTATTGTCCCCAGCACAAGGTGCACCTGTGTAATGATCTTGCTGTTTAATCAGCTTCTTGATATGCCACACATACCATGTGGATGGATTATCTTGGCAAAGGAGAAATGCTCACCAACAGGGATGTAAACAAATTTGTGCACAAAATTTGAGAGAAATACGCTTTTTGTGCGTATGGAACATTTCTGGGATCTTTTATTTCAGCTCATGAAACATGGGACCAACACTTGACATGTTGCGGTGACATTTTTTTCCAGTATAATAACACACAGGAGAGGATTTCAACTGAGATTTGAGCTCAGTGGGTGATGTAAAGTCAGTTATGTCGTGCCAGAATATGACATGAACAATATACAGTACACCTGACCAACTGCATACACACAACGAATCGACATGTTTGTTTCACTTTGTAGATTTACGTCTCTTGACCTTTTCCACAAACTTGAGTTTCTTGAACTACGATGACTAAATCTGGCATTGTACACCCAAAGTACTCAAGTGCCGCAGCTCGAGATCTGCTCAAACAAATCCTTCAGAGATGGACACAAGTCTACAAACACAATTAGCAGGCTACACACACACACAGAGCTCCCTGCCCACTCAATCTAAATATGTTGCATGTAAGGTGATCTCCTGTAGTGATTGAGCTGATTAGTTCTCTCTTTACTGGCACAGCATCTAGCATGGGCCAACCTGTATGTTAGTTAACTATACCTAACCACATCAACACAGGATCACCCACAATATGACTGGATGCCTTAGGACAGGTGCTCAGGGAAATATTAGCCCTTATGGGTGGCGGCAGAACTACAACTGAATATGATGCAAGACAGAGGAGCATGCCTTGGCACCACAAGGAACCTTTTCCACCATTGGTTACCCACAAAACTACATTATATTGACAAAAATGGTGCACTAGGTAAACAAATAGTCCAGAATGGATGCTTTGACCAATTGGACAAGTTCAGGTAGTTTCTCATCTACTTCAACATTTCCCCATGTCACGCCTCCTGAACACCGTATCCATCTGCAATGATGAGTAACTAGCCCCTTTACTATTCAGAGCCGTTTTGAATGGCGGTAACAGAACCTACCAATGCTAATTATTTGAAATTAAACTTCTGTAGTGTCTCAGGATGAGTTGTAATAAACTGCTTACACATCTACTATAAATATCCCTTTTGGAGCAATTTCACACCACTTTCAAGTGGCACTGTGGGCGCAGGCTGGTTGAGGCGTCATCCTCTCAAACCACTTCCACCCCCTCAAATCACATTCATCACACTGGCTTCAACAGGCTCATATAATCTACTACAACCATCAACCATCCGTAATTAAAACATTACAACATTTAAATATTTCCTTGAACAAACACTAAATTAGGAAATTCTTCCATAATGACCTACTAATAATCATACACTACCCAAAATGTTGCTGATTGTCTACTGTTTTGTAGTGGTTGAAAAATGTGTAGCAGTGTAACAAAAACTGACAAGGTAGCAAAAAAATGAGCCAACACTGGTAGCTAATAGAGCAGTGTACAGAGGACAGCTGCAGCTGCTGGCATTGTCCAATTGGTCACGGCAGCCCCCAAAGAATGGGTGGGGGGAGGGAGGTTTATGAATATTTTTGGTTGGTGTGTGAATAGAGTTTCACATTGTAACTAGCAACCTTACAACGGGCCGACCAAAGACACCACGATTGAGACGACCTTGTTATTTTCAGTAATCACCATAGGACAAGGTTAAAGAGCTGACCCCTGGGCTTTCAGGTTCAGCCAAGCATCCCAATACGGTCAGCCAGGCAGGCAGGGGATGGGGTCTGGGCTGGGGGAGTCGAAAAAAAATCTCAAATTGTGTTCCTTTATGCTCTTTTGTGGAGCCGTAGAGGACACAAATCCGAGCAGTGATGCACTTACGGCCCTCAGGGGGGCCTTTGTGACACCAGTCCTGCCTGATTTGGGGATTCTGTTCAGCTGGCGGACGCTGCAGACTGCTTAGTGAGTTACCACAGGCAGCCGTGCTTTGGGGAATGGGAGAAAAACAGGGTGCAGTCACAGGGTGTTGAGTCCCCTTTTTGTCCTCCGTCCACACTGTAGTTGGATCCAGACTGGAATTCTTACCACCATTAGCATTTCTTCTAGCTATTCGTGTGTGTGAGAGAGAGAGAGACAGCGAAGCACTCAGACGCATAGTGAGCTGCAACCCGCTGTGCCTTCACGCTGCTCTGATGAGTTTGATACAAATCCGCTCTGAAGGCTGAGGTCATTCCAAAATAAATAGTGTTGAAATGGAGTGGGGGTGCGGAAAATAACAAAAAACTGCAACAAATAAAAGCAGCCTGTTCTGTTGTTAATTCAGTCAGGTGCGGCAGACAATGATGAGAAATATTCACCACATGTATCTGTTTAATTCA